ACTCTGTGACTAATACTAAAAGTACAAAGCCACCAAGTTTCAAAGAAATGAAATAAACATCTCTGTAACATACATATTTTTGTCAATCTGACTTGTTCAACTACAAGGTTTTGCAAAGATTGTCTGAACTCCTTTTGCTGTCTCTTGCAAAGTTGACAGTTAAGGTAAATTTTCCTATTTTCTTCAAGGAAGTTCTGTGAAGAGATGAAATCCCATTGAATAATTTAAGTTGTCAGCAAAGAGACTTACTTTAGATGTTTGTAGTGCCTCGTTTTAAAAAAATCCAGTGAAAAATACTAAAATTTCATTATCTGACATAATTTTCATAAGTTTATATGGCAGCTCTTGTTTAAAAAAACAATTACTTCTTTGCTTAACCAAGATTCCCCCAAAATGAGTGTTTTATGACCTGAAGAATTATTGTGGTATGTTCATGCATGACCAACATGTCAACAGGAAAACCTAAAGCTAGAGGCAGCTTTGCGTTGCAGGGAAAACATTTGAGTAATTTCAACTGTCATCTTCTTAGGGAAGCGTAATTGAAGATACAGGTGAATATGTGACTTCTTTCAAAAACAGAATTAAAAAGAAATTGTATCCACATGTCTGTCGCATTTGAAAGTCCCTTAGGAGCATGCGGAAAGTGCAAGTATGTACTGCAACAGTAAAATGCTGCAACAAAGGAACAGTATATAATATTTTTCATGTGCCAATTACAGACAAGTTTTGAAGAGGAGATCAAGAAAGCGTAATGCAACTTCAAACTGGGATTGTGCAAGCTTCCAAAACAGGACTTCTAAAGGGAAGAACAGGTCTGGTTCTAAAAAAATGTTAAACCTTCAAACAAAAGCCAGAAGAGTTTAATACTTAGAGGGGAAAAAAACAGTACTTGTAACAAACTCACTTTTCTGTATTTGAGATCATTACTGAGGGAAAGGCTAGATATGGAAAGAACTGGGTGTTGGGATTGTTTTGTGTCAAGTTTAAGATAAATAAGTTGAATTTTTTTTGTTTTAATTGAAGCTCAGTAATGTGGTTTGCTTTTGTGTCTCTGTTTGAAAGGTATAGGGAGAAAGTGCTTTTTCTTGTAAAATGTGATTCTTTTGACAGAATAATGGCTGATTTACTACTCTTGAGAAATATTCAGTAAGGTTCTGGTGGTGTTGTTTTAATAACCATCCTGAGTCATGGCTCTTTTTTAAAAAAAGCATGAGTTAAGTGCAGGATTAGTTTGTTCACAGAGGCTTTACCACCAAAAAAAGGTGGTAAAACTAACCAGGCTTTAGTGCAGTATGCTCTGCCTTTCTCACTTCCCTATGGAAACATGGCATATGGGATCATTCTGCCATTCAGCTTTAGAATACCTAATTAATTTCAACCAAATCTGGCAGATCTCACAGCCACTACATTTTTAGAATTTTTCTAAGCGTGGAGATGAGAGATCAGAAGAAAACCGCGTTCTGTACTGATATCCAGTAATCCAGATAAGGGAAAGACATAAGTTTCCAGGCATGAGACCAGCTTCAATTAGAGCTTGTACCTTAGGTTCAGAGGTAATTAATCACAGGCATAAATCCATAGGAAAGCAGTCTTCATTAGTTCCTGGAACCATGTTTTGAATAAATGCCTGGTACGAGGGTAAGGAGAAGTAGCAGACCTCCAGTGATCCTTTCAGATGAGTTATATAGAGACCTTGATTGCTTTGGGGGTTGGGTTTTTTCCTGGTTCATGTGAAATCTGCTGCAAAAGCAAAAGTGCTGCTCATGAGAATGGTATCCAGGCCTGCTGCAGTGAGTATAGTCATACTGAAAGGCCACGTTTAAATCATTAAAAAATCATATTAGTCCTCTGTTTGACTCGAGCTTAGCTTAAGTCAAAATGGGAGAGCACCAGACTCCTAAAACATGACATCCTATGAGAAAGTAAGGGCCTTTTAAAGGAATTTTTTGTTGAGGAAGACTATACAGGAGCTCAGCCCTCTGAATTCTTCACCTTGAGAGACAAGCATGCCTCCTCTAGTGTAAGGTGCAAGTTGCATGGAACATGTCACCAAGATGAACTAGTTTCCAGTTCCCTTACATGAATCCCACTGTTGACACAAGAAAAAAAAAAAAAAAAAAAAAAGACAAAACCCTTTGCAAATAATCAGCGTATTTTGTGTAATTTTTATTTAATTCTCCAAACGTTAAGCCATAAATCCAAAGTTCTGATGTGTGTATTCAAACAACTCCACGTTCATTTTTCTCGTAGCTCTTGTCAGAGCATGTTTGAAACACAACTGCCCTTTCTAGAAGCACCTGCTGTAGAAGGCACGTGCACCCTTTTCTGTTGCACAGAACAAAAATGGGGGACAGAACAGCTGACCACATTAGGGCAATCACTTAAGAAAGAGTGGGCAGAGCAGGGTGTTGGTGTCTTTTCTGGGGGGTCTGCTGGACAGGAGGAGAATGATTGCACCAGAGGCTCAGGCATTGCATTGCTCTCTGGAGCTGTAGAAGGGGAGGAATTGTCCAGGACTGTGCTAGTGCTGTGAAGCTGCCCCAGTGGGGCTCAAGTCTACAAAACCTAATCTTTACTCAAGTTATGAGGACACTTTGGTGATGCTGCTGGTTCAGCTACCCCTTTATATGCTGCATTAGACATAAGGATCCCAGATCTGTCCCTTCTGCATCAGCTACCTTTGTATGCCTATCTGTTGTCTATTCCTTGGAGATAATCCCTAGCATATGGCAGGGGTCGGTCCTGGTGCAATACTCCTGCTTGTCCCTAGCTGACTTGAGCAGACAGAAGAATCCTGAACATCTCTGAGTTACTCTTCCACTTAAGCCACAGTGTGTGTCAGGAAGGGAAGGGATACAGGGGGGGATTTTTGGTCCGTTCCTCCCCCTCAGTGCTGACACTGGTCTTGGTGCAGCAGATGGACCGTGGGGGTAGGGGTATCACCCCTCAGCCATTTGGGGAGGCATCCTCCCCTCCGACACAGCCCTGGCAGCGTGTCAAAAAGGATTCATTAATGCCTCTTGCAGCAGCACTCGCTCTCCTTCTGTGCTCCATGACCCCTGGCAGCGAGGTCAGAGCACAGCTGTGGCCCGGGAATCGGTGGCACTGCACTGCAGGAGAGAGGTGGCCTGGAGAGAGGGTCCCCTCACCCCCAGTGAGGGACTACGGGGTCAGCTCCGGCTTTCTGTGCCTCGCTGCCCTTCAGATTGGGCCCTGCACTCTCCTACCCTGTCACAAGTGCCTGTCAGGAGACATAAGGGTTAAAATATGCTGGACCTGAGGCTTTTAAAAAAAAAAAAAAGTAGGGTCTTTTTAGCTGAATAATCACAAAAAGCAGCTTATCTTTCACCAAAGTTGTAGTCTATCTCCACCAAACCACTGCAAGTGTTTCTGTAGCATTTATTAGACCGACCTAGAATCTTTGTGTGCATTTGGTCTGTGCTCCCCTTCAGTGTAGGAAGGTGTCTGTATAAATGTGTTTGTTTTTACTGTCCTGCAGATTGATCTAAACCCATCTCTCAGAGAGCTGATGCAGCTTCTTGGGGATGCATCAGGCAACCAACCCATGGCAGGGTTCGACAAAAGGCTCAAAATCAATCTTTACAAATACTTCAACGTCAGATTTTGAAATCCGGTTTGTACAAACGCTTGTGCCAGTGTAACTTGATTACGCAAATGCCCGGGGAAAGCAAATACGAGGTTTGAGCATGGCCAAAACCACCCCATCTTTGAAGGGGGAAAAAAAAAAAAAAATCGAGTGAATATTCATGGGAGAATTGTGCAATGTTTGACGTAGCACTAGGGCTGGTGCGCACCTCGTTTCCCAACAGCCCTGGCACCGTGAGTTGTAGGAACGCTGCTCTTACGGAGGCCCTGGGGCGTGCCTTTTGCTGAAATTTTGGCAATTTCGGTCACAGACGAGCTGCGAGTACACACACACAAAAGAAATAATTTTAAGAAAAAAGAAAGACGGGGTGGTTGTGCGCTTGTGTCCGGGCTGACCGGAGCCCCCGGGTGCTTTCCAGCCCACGCTGCGGTTCCGCGCACGGCCCGGCCCGGCCCGGCCCCGTCGCCCCCGCCGGCGCGGGCGGGGCCGCCCCCGGAGCGCCGCGCCGGGGCCGCGGGACTCGGCGGCGCCCGGCTCCCCATTGGCCGAACCGGGCGCTCGGCCCCGCCCTCCGCGGCGTTCCCCGCGCTCTCATTGGGCGGTGCAGCGGGCCCAGCCGTAGCCCCACCCCTCGCGGCTCGCCGTCCAGTCAGAAAATGGTTGCCGGGCAGGTTGAACGGGCCGCCGGCCAATGGGAGCGCGGCCAGCTGGCGGGCGCGGCGCACGCAGCGCTCCCCCCCGTCCCTCAGCGCCGCGGGCGGAGGGAAGGGCGGAGCGGAGGCTGCCGGGGCCCGGCGGGGGTGGCGCTGCCTCCGCCTCCTCCCGCGCCGAGTCCCAGCCCCGCCGAAGGGAGGGAGCCCGGCCGGCTGCGAACGGACGGGGGTTCCTCCGCTGCCGGGTAGGGCACCGGGCACGGCCGGGGCGGGAGGGCGCGGGGCTGCGGGCAGGAGGCAGGGGGAGGGCAGCGTGGGGACGAGCGGGCGGCCGAGGCGGGAGCCCCGACGGGGCGGGGGGGCCCTGGCAGGGAGGGGGTCAGGGCACGGAGGGACAGCAGGGGGACAGGAAGGGACAGGTGGAAGGGTGTGGGGCCCCGGGGAGGCGGGCCGGGAGCGGAGGGCACGGCGGGACGGCGGTGCGGGCACTGCGGCCCCGGGGGAGCCGCGCCGGGCGCGGGGGGAGCGCTCCGAGCGCGGCCGGCGGTGGAAGTTGTTCGCGCAGTTATAATTAGCCCGGCCGGGGTCTGTGCGGGCCGGGAGGAGGAAGGGGGAGGAGTGTAACTTTTCGCAGCTCGGGAAGCCCAAGGTTGTCTCTGGTTACCGCTGCCCACGGCCGCGGGAGGGGCGGGGAGCGGGGGGAGGACGGGCGGCCGCAGGAAGCACCGACGCTCCTTCCACAAAGGCCAAATGGTGGCAGGAGCGCGCGGGAGGGCGGCAGGAAAGGGCTTTCCTCTGGATCCCCGGCGTGTCCATCCCGGCACCCCCGATCGCTGCCGCTCGGTAGTTGTGACTTGCGTGTGTGCTGCGGTTACGTTTTCCAATAGCAGGGTTTTGTTTGGCTCAGTAAAACGTGTGTCAGTCCGGGCTGCGAGCAGGTGGATAGGACTTGGGGGGGGGGGAAGGGAAAATAAGCTTGGTCTCCTTTATACGTTTTGTAGATTAATCTCGCTAATAGATGCAGTTAATAGTTTCTGCCTTAGTTAGGCCTGGAATTTTTCAAACTATGTTGGAACAGCTAGTTTCCAAAAACATAGGTAGGAGCCTTGTGCAGTAGTTTTCTGCTTTGTTTTTGATGTGACTAAAATTCTGTAGTTCAGGCATCAGTGTTAATGTGAAAAATACCATTAACATTGAAATGAATGGTATAATTTCAAAATTCTAAAGTGACCCCTAAACAGGTACTAGGAGGGGAAGACAGGGGGAAAAAATTAATCTACTAGAGATATAATTCGTAGTTATTTACAGCTACTGTGTGTCTTCTATAGTTGTTCTTTTTTGCCTAACAGATTGGAAAAACTAAACCTAATAACCTTACCTCTGTACTTCTTCCTGACACTCATCCCTGTGTGAAATCATGCAGGGAAGGAAGAAGTCATAACCTCAACAGTTACTGTTGCAGGAGTCCTTTAAATATATAGTAAAGGTATTAAATTTGATAACTTCTTGAGTTCAGCTCCTTCTAGCAAAAGATTGGCCTTCTAAAAATGCAAGAAACAGTACTGTTTCCCACTTTTTTTTTTCTTTTTAGCTAAGGTGCTAAAGTCTAAAACTTTTCAACATTTTAATTTGCTTATTAGCTTTTTAAGGATTCTTTAATGCTAAATGACTTCACATTCTAAAACATGTTCTTTTATATTCAGTGTATAGAAAATGCAGTGACTGCACACCTCTCCTTGTGACCTAACAAGTGCACTTTAATGAACCTCAATAGTGACCTTCTGATGTCCTGCTGTTTCAGAGCAAATAGGTTATGAATCTTCATTTGTCTCTTTGTTTGGGGCTTTTTTAATGTACAAATAGCGTGGATTTCTTTATAATGGGAAAGCAGTCAGCTTGGAGGAGGAGGAGGAGGAGGGAGATGTTAATGTGTTTGTTGCTGTGGGTTAGATTTGGCTTTCTTAGGTCACCGGCCTTTTACTGCTGTTTTACTGCATCTTTACAGTTCCGAGGTTCTGTAAGCGGAGGAGCCCTTTGGTAGCATCAGGCTATGAGTTGCTATGTAAGATGAACTGTAGGCATTTACTTGCCCATCTGTCTCAATGTAAGACTGCCTTTCACTATGTATTATTTTCAGATTTGTAAAATAATGTATGAACTCTTGATTTTCGATCGTGAAGGACTGTGTTGACCCGGATAGTACTGATCCTTGCTCTTGTGGTACGTTTTGTGAAGTGGTTTGCTGTAGTTGGGGTCAGGTGTCTGTGTGTGTGTTGTGCACAAACAGGCATGTTAGGTCCAATCCTGGCTCTCCACTGTTAGCCTGTTTAAGGGCTTTAATTCTTGGAATTAATAACTGTTTAATTCTTCAGGTGAAGTTGAAACCCCAAGAGCATGGATCATGCGATTCCCTCCACATCGCCTAGCGTAGTCCATAGTTTGCTGTCACTTCAGCCTTTTCACGTTTCCCAGAGTTTCCAATGCCTTGAGCTAATCCATGATTTAATCCATGTGGTCTCCAGCCAAACTGCAGATGTTGCTTTATCAGGGTTTTGATGGAAATGATGCCACACTGAATATTAGATGCAATCATAGGATACCTTGCCAGCCGTCTTCTCATACTGTTTTTGTTTATGCTGAAAATGAGGAGAGTTAGGGAATTTAATAAAAATCTAACTGCTTTTGCAGCCTGTAAGTGTTAGGGGATAATTCTGCAATGCAGTTCTTCACAGTGCATGGTACTGTCTCCTGATTATCTGAGTTTGGAGATGATTGCAAATGTAAATTGGTGTTCAGTAACCTGAAGAAGTATCAGTGCAAGATTTTATCCTAAAACCTAACACTTAGAGGATCAGCATTCTGTAGTACTCATTTATGAAAGATAGTTCCCACATTTCATATGTTCATGAATAGGTGAAACTGTTAGGTTCCTCTTATTCCAGTGTATTCATGAACTTCAGATTTTCTTACTCATGCTTATCTGTTTTAATAGGATTTAGCACAAATCATTTAAAAAGTTGTATTGAATTGTGTGCTCAATGCTTCTGGTTAAAAAAAATAAAACCACCACACAGTACTGAAACACTCTGGTTTTTTTTTTGTTTTTCCTCTTAAGTCACATCATCCTACCTCGGTGGATGGCTTGGCCTCTTGGGTAGTTCAAGACTCTTGGATGACCACGCTTTATGCAAAATCCAGAATCTTCCTGCCTGGACTCCTTTCCGTCTTCTGAGGGTAACTACTTGTATGTTTTTATGAAATTGTATCTTATGTGCACAGGCCATGTTCTGATAATCGGCTGCAGATGTTATTTGTGGGTTAGAATGGTAAACTGAAAAATATATTTTAAAAACAGGGTATAGAATGTAAAGTGAAGTGCTCAGACTTAGTGAATCATATAAGCTCTCTGGTTTGAGTGTTCTGAATTTGCATTATTGCTTTTTTCTTTTTCCATTGTAATGAGGAATTATTGTAATTCAGCAAAGCATACTGCCATAAGATCACATTTTTCTTGGAAATTTGTTAACTAAGGCCTCAATCTCTCAGTGAGATCCACTGTTCAGCTGCTAAAATTGAGTGTTGCAGTCGTGTCTTTAGAGAAGGCAGCACTTTGGATGTTGAAGTTGTGTGCTATGAGAGAAAGTTCAAAGTGATGTCTGAAAATTATGTACCTAAATATTCCATACAAACAACTAGAGGAAATGCATAGTCCTCTATCAGGAAAAGAGCCTTTTTTTCTTGATTGCTTTTACTATTAATGGTCCATTTTTTCTGGTGGTGTGTGGCCATGCCAATTTTTATAGTTAATAAGATATAACTTCCTTTATTAGTGAATCTTTTAGATCACTGTAACCCTAAAATATATGCCAGTGTTATGCAGGTGAATGCATCCAGTATCTCTGTATTTGAAGTAAAGAGATGCTGTAAAGAGAACAGATTGAGAACTGTTCAGTTGACTAGAACAGGCTGTGAAGAGGTATGTCATCACACTTGCAGTTCTAATGATCATTTGCCTGTCCAGTGAGATGCTGTGGTGGAACAGTGGTGGTTCGATTCTCGTTGCTTCCTCTGTGATTCCTTTATGTTCTCACTTAATTACAGTTTAGCTTTACTATGAGAGATTCCAGGTTTAGTAAGTCTTGATCATGTATTAGCTTTTGCCAACTACTATTGCTCCTTAGTTTAAATGATCCCAGGCTCTTCTTCCACTAAAAAGAAAACCACCCAAAGTCCCTGGAAAAAAAAGTCTGCTAAACACGCTCTCATTAAAATGTACACCTGTGAGCTTTATTGGTAAATGTGGAACTAGATACTCAAGTGACAGAGAAAAGTGACAGTGATTTAGTTTGTTTTCTTTTAAGGATGGAAGTTTCTCTACCCAGTGCTGGTACTCCCTCGGCAGCTCTCTCTCAGCCTCCAGTGTTAGGTATCAGCTGCTGAGAGTATGGTTCATCTACTGTTGCAAACAAGTGGATTCACTTGTTTAAGCTGTGGAAGGTGCACATCCTAACAGACGAAGGTCCTTCTCCAGAGGAAACTTCTATATTCTGAAGCTTAGTTGCCACAGTTCGTAAAACAAAGCTCTTACCAGTGCTTTGTGTAATAAAATGGGAGTAAGGAATTTAGGAAGATGTCCTTAAGTGCAGGAATTTTCCACATCCCATTAGACATAACAAACGGATTGTGTGGTTTCAAACAGATTGGGGGTCTCAAACTAACTTTGAAATCAAGGTAAAACTTACTCCTGAGTGTTTCATAAGCCTCATTTCAGCTCCTAAAATATTTGTGTATGATACGGGTTTATTCTCTACTTCCACAAATAGTGAGTGACACTGGGAAGGTTATGAATTCCAGATTAATTCTGAGCTAGACTCAGTCTTCCTCTCATTCCTTTCCTATACTTAATGAATGTTATTCAGCCTAAGCTTATTTTGAAAATGCGGGGAAAATCCTTAGGTGTGGGGTTTTTTCTGTTTTGTTTTCGTGGTTGGTGTGTGTTTGTTTGGTTTTGGGTTTGTTTGTTGTTTTTGTTGGGATTTCTTAAGTCTGAACAGTAGCATATCTTGGTTCTGTGTTCCAGTTGCTTTACTGGTAACAGACATGGGTGTATTATAGGTCAGGATTTTTTATCAAGAAGTTGACATTAATTCTTCTCTCTTTGAGCAGCTATTTTCTGGTAATTTCTCACTCCTGTGAAGAAGTTGTTGCATAGGAGTTTAGTTATGGGAGTAAGCTGGTAGGACTGCACTCCTCCCTGTATACACACTTTTAGTCACTTGTGCCTTCTCCAGCAGTTACTCATCCTGGCTAAACTGGGGCAGGGCTGAGGGGGGTGGGGAAGCAGTGGACTTGAATACGTTCTCATATATTTGAAAGTATCTTCAAGTCCAAATTAGTTTTTACTTTGGGTGTTTTCTGAAGTGTTTAAGTCCTCCTTCCCTCACTTGCTCTGAATTTTTGCTAGCAGCCAAGATGTGATGTTGTGGGGACCTCCAGCACTTGCTGAGGACACCAGATCAGATGCTCTGTTCTGTGTGGTCTGACAGCTTACTGTGTTATGTAAGTCATGTTCAAGTGATCAGTGCTAAGTCCGGATGGGAGGAAGGGATTTGTGCTCTGTCTGTTCACTGTACCTTCAGCCTTCCCATTTTCTTGTGCAGCTGGGTATTCGTGGATATACGTGGATAAATATGGCATATGAGTCAATAGCCAGTCCGCCACTTAATTAAAATTATTCATGAAGTTGCGCAGCCAAAGCTAAAATGTGTGTCAGGTAGAGGAAGGGTTATCATTAAAAACAGTATGCAGTATACATCAAATAATTTTGGGAAGTAACCGTAACTGTTGGGATGTTTGTCTTCCTTTGCACTTCCTGCCGATAGATGTGTGCTTGTGAGATGTGTCTGTGGAAGAGAGGGGAGAGCAGGATGTCAGGTTATCAGCCAGCCTTGGTCAGCCACTAACACTTAGTCTACAATCCAGAGAGACTTCTGTCTGTCTTTACTGTTACATGACTTCTACAGTTATGAGACAAAGGAGACTTTGAAAGGGAATTGCCCAAATTACAACAGCAAGGAGTCTCTAATTTTGATTTTAATACCTAAGTTGCATTACTGAAAACTGGACAGGCAGCTTTCACTCACGACGTGCTTACATCTCTGCAGAGCTGGTATTTCTGTCCCACAAGAAGTAGTAATATTTCACTTTGAGACAGTCTTGGGCTGAAAAATGCAACAGTGTGGCTGCATGGAAAGGGTCAAGCAAGTTTGATTTTAATGTTTCATAAAGAAAAACCAAAAGGGACCACTATCAATTAAATTATTTTTATCTGTATTGTGAAAGCCAGGTATTTTATTGAAGATCTTGCTATTTAAACATATTATTTAATGGTAAATTAATAACTTCTGTGTAGCTGACTGCAGTGCTTGTTTCATGCATGAAAAGTTCATGTTCACACAATACTAACCATGGCAGTAATATTTGATATACTCATTATTTTTGAAGCTTTTCTCTGCTGAAAATTTAAGCTCTGTGAGGTTCTGAGTTCTAAACATTGCTTAACTTGCTGTTTAGTTCTTCCTCATCTTCCAAAAAAGTTTTTAAGTAGTACTTTGCTCAGATAGGAGTAATTGAAGGTTTTCACGTTCCATTATTCCTTGAGACTGTTTCCAGCTGTACTTCCCAACCATGTGCCAGTGGCAGCTGCGCTTGCACTATCAGACCCTGTGACAGATGGAGCTGAAATGGTGGCACGAGCCCTGTATTGTCCACGGCAGGTCGCAATGTGAATTTTTCTTGGTAGCCTGGAATGTTTCTTCTGAGAAACTGCGCCCTGGCCAGGCCTGTTTGTTTGGTGTTCTGCATGGATTTGCCAACCAGGGACGTGTCTCTTCCCTCCCAAGTTTTTTCAAACCCTGGTGTGGTGTAGGATTACAGTGCATGGATGCTTCTTCCCATCTTAGCAGGGAGGAGTTTCTATGGAATGTCCTCCATGGAGGACTGGAAGAAACTGAGGAATATACTGTCAGGGGCAGAATTTCTACGTACAGACTCCACTGTAGTTCAGTGATGTGGATAGAGAGTTTGGTACTCCTAAAATATTGAGTTCACTCTGCTTCCTTGTCTCTGTATGTGCAAGATAATTTTAATTAAAAAAGCGTTCTTCCATAAATGGCCTGTGGCTCCGTTTGCATTACTATAATGAGAGAAGATGAAAAAATGCCAGAAAAAAAGTTTCTGAGATGTGTTGTTTCTCATTGTTCCTGTTTTGTTTTGTGTTTTTTTTTTTTTCACAACAAAAGATTCTAAAATAGATCATCTGAACTCAAAAGAAAATTTTGTTGTGGAACGTTTTCAGGCTCCAAGAAAAGGGTGACTTGCAGCTTGCTGCTTTTATAATTGAACAGCAATGTACAGACCTCACATTTGAAGTTAGCATAAACTTTTAATTTTTGTTCAGTTTATTTACTTACAAATTATAGAGTTATCAGATTGGCACATTCCAAAATTCTGTTACTTGATTTTTTTTTTTTTGGGGTTTTTTTTTTGAGATCGGAGTAGGTTCCTGGAATTGGGCTGGAGTAAGGAAGAGTGCAGTTTCTAGAGACTCTTTGTACTTTGGTGTGCCCAGATTGTGCTCCTCTGAACTGGCTGTGCTGGTGTGTCAGCTGAGGGAGGGGCTGACACTGTGCAGCAGCCACTCGTGCCCTGGGCATGGCAGTGTGGGGTTGTGTGTGTTTTTCTCTCCTTACTCCCCAAAATTGAAGTGGGGTGAGCATTGCATAACTAAATAATGTGATCAGCATCTTCTGTTGCAAAGTAGTGCTGTCAAAGAGAGCGTTTGAGAGCGTGAATTTTGGGTTCAGGGTATGATGTCTACCCAGAGCTACGAAAGTACAAGCTACTTAAAAAATACAGAGTAGTTTGTTAAGGATCTGACCCTGTCAGAAATTCTTGTGTTAGAAAGTAAAGCAAAAGGCCTGATAAAATGTAGATTAGCTGGTAACAAAGGGGCTTTGTGTCTTTTGTAGGTCAGCAGCTGAGTGTGTTTGACAAGAACTGAAATTTAATGTCTCCTGTAGCAACGATGGCACTAGTCATTTTTAAATCCACTGTACCAGTGGTACTTTGTTTTTAATTAGCCTTTTCCAAATTTTTGTGCAGCCTCTGAAGTCATCTAGCTCCTGGAGGAAGAGTTAGGGATCCTTGCAATTAGGGGAAAATCATGTTAAACAGGAGAAATTTTATACATAAGGTAGTGTTATGTTTGTGTATTTTAAAAAAACCATCTTTGACATCTAGAGAGTGGAGAGTATGTTAAGTAGAAACATTTTGAAGTTGGAGCAAATTATGTTTCTTGCACTTCATTTTTCTAGTCGAGTGCTGCCAAGCTCAAGCATTGTTACATATTTCTAGAATGCTCTGGGACAAATTTTATGGAGGAAATTTGAGCAATGAAAAGAAGAGTGTCTGCCTATATGAGCATGAAGTATTTAGTTTAACTAGACTACTGTTTGAATTGAAAAGTTAAACATGTAATTTTAAGTTGTTTTTGTGAAATTATACATCCTTGCGTATAATAGTTTCCTTGCTGTTTAAGCTAGCTTACAGAATTTAAATACTAGCACATTTTTGGGATGTAAGAAATTATATAATTCAAATTGATAAGAACAGTATGTACTATGTGTCTAACAAAGTGTAAATATATATTTTTTAAAAATATTAGAAGAAGTAAATTATCAAATCCAAGTATTCTGAATGTATGAAATGTCAGAATTACTGTTTCCTGTGTGGTTGTAATTTCATTCCTTATGAGTGTGAATTTTGGTTTGCTTTAATTAATGGAGAGGAAAAAAAAAATTAAAAGCCTAGTATGCAGTGTATGTGAACAGTGGTACTTAGGGAATAAATAGCCATCTAATAGTAATGTTATGAGGTCGTGCTTTAGGTAGTGCACAACATTTAAATGCTACTTAAAATGGAGAGTTAACAATTTTATTGTGAGTTTTCTGTGATTTGCAGGCACTGATTGTCTTCACGATGAGGGTTGATGTATTTAGCAACAGTTTACTTGTCCTGTATAATTGTGATTTTCCATAGATTGTGTCAAAAATTATCAGTTACTGACAGTGTTGTCAGTAGTTTGAGATGCCTGACACACACACTGCTTCCCCGGAATATTTTGTTATTATATTTGGTGCCTGAACTTTGTATCCAGAATTCTTGTGATTTTGTTAGTCATGGAGTGCTTAGTACTGGCTGGTTCTGTCTGCTCTATATGGGGTGCTGGAATGAGGGAGCGATACGTGATCAGTGTGGGAAGATGACCTGGGTGAACAGAGCACACCACATCCAGACACCTTCTGGTTTTTAAAGAGATTCAGCTGGTGCTGTGGCAGTTTAGCAGAAAACTTCAGATAAATAAACAGACTTCCAAAGTTAAAAATCACAGTGCTGGTAAGATTACCAGTAATTAAAGGTGAGGTTTTGTTGTTGTTTTTGTTCCAAGATTGTTAGTGTTAGTGAACTTAAAATAGGCCTGTTAAGTAGAAATACATTCTCAGGAAAAGTTGAATTTCATCCAGGTATGTCCCTTAAAAAAAAAAAAAAAAAGGTATAGTTGAGAAGTCTCCACCCTAAACTCCTGTGGCAGCTGTCTGTTTTCTCTTGTGTCTTATTGAGGAGGAGGCACTGCTTGCTTCCTTTCTGTTCCTCTAGAGGAGCCGAGTTCTCCAACAGCCTTGTCGAGGCAGATGGATGCAGCCAGGGAGCCCTGCAGTGCTTCCTGCAAATCTGGAGAAATCCTGAAAGTAAAAGAGGCTTTATCCTGCTGCCTTCTCCTTGTCCCCAAAAGTCTAGCAACAGGCTAGCAGCTGGCAGCTGCGGCCATCAGCTGAGCTGTTGCTGGCAGTAGCCAGTGCTCACATGAAAAGGAAGTTGGGAGGCCCTCGGCAGCATGCAGGGTCTGGATCATTGTGTATGAGGGATCTGCCCTTAATCTGCCACTGGGTGTCTAATTTATGATTGCTTAATTATTTTTTTTTTAATTGTTTGGCAGTGAGGTGTCTGTATTCAGGGACACATCAAGATGTGTGTAACCAAGATTTTACCAGTGTTTCCTGTGCACAGTATACTACTGTTTCTGTGTTCTGTACAAGTCATTGCATAGTGGTTGTTGTTCTAATGAAACACTGGAGATTTGGAATGGTAATTGCAGAGTACACGAGCAGATATTTATTTGCATTGCCTGTATTTTAGGGGGTGAGTGTACAGTTTTTTGTACCACAGTGTTCTAGACACACCGTATTTCAATGCAAGAGCACACAAAGCAGACTGAAAGCAACTAAGTTCTATTTCTTTTCTTTTAACTGTTTACCAAAATTGGCTACTTTTGAATGCCATTTGATAGCCTCCTCCCTAATGTCCTTAGTGTGAAATCAGTAGCAGGTTGTGAACCAGCAGCCGTGAGCACTGACTGTCACTGTGTGAGCTCAGTGGCCCAACCAGGTTCCTCACAAATTAGTAAGCTATGGAATGGATATAAGGATCCCATGGGAGGCCCTACTGTTGGTCTTGCTGGGTGGTTCAACTATAGTCAAACAACTTTTGGTCACCAAAGAAAAAGGAGAAAAATTAGTTCTATGGAGAGTTCTCAGAGACACTGAGCAAGACATCACAAATTACCTTCATGACATAAAAATGGATGTTGGAAACCAGCTTTGAAATATTAATTGCTATACCTAAGAACAAATGTTAAAATGAAAATGGTGAAATATTCTGTATAGTTATTATGATGCTTAGTGTCAGCATCTATTTTATTTCACATATAGACATTTAGATATTTATGAATTTTTGTACACTATATAATTTAAATGGATAAGAAGCCAAAAAGCTCACCTAGTAAAGCTTTTAAATAATTAAATTCGTATTCTCATAGTGGAGTTAAACACAGAACTTAGAGGCATATAGCTTTTTAAAAAAAGAATTACTCTATTTCTTCCATATTTTCTGTTTAAAAAGAAAAAGTTACTGTGAAACAATGGCTGGAAAGTGCATCTTTTCAATGGAAGTAGTATTGAGTAGGATTTCATTCTGTCTCTTGATGTTCTGTAACATCAGTCTTAAGTTAACCAATACAGGGTTTTCAGAATTGTCTGAAGAGGTGGTAGTCTTGCCCAAGGTTAATTCACAATTTCTCTCTTCCAGGTTCATGTTGGGGAGAGGTCTAAAGCGCAAGCTGAGTGACTATGAGGAGAACATGGCTGGTCTCTCGAGTGCCTTTGACTCCAGTCGAAGTCTGCCATATCCACTTAAGAGGCAGTTGGTGCTCAACATGTGCCTCACCAAGTTACAGACGTACAAAATGCTGGTGGAACCCAACTTGCACCGCTCTGTCCTCATCGCCAACACCGTGCGGCAAATTCAAGAGGAAATGAGACAAGAGAGTAACCAGCAGCCAGTTAACATCTGCCCTGGCATTGCTCCTAGCTCTCACAGCTACACAGGGATGGAGTCATCTGCGATTTCTCTTCAGTTGCCTTCAGGTATTAGTCAGCAAGAGTCCAACTGTTGCGACTTGCGGTCTGTAGAAGACCCGATTGAAAACAGCCTGCTGATAGTTTCGGATGATGACATGTCATCTGCCATTTCATCTATTCTGAAGGATTTAGACTTTGTAGAAGATATAAGCCCGCCTACTTGTCTGGTTCCTACTGGAGATGACCAGCCAAAGTTTCCAGAGAATGCTGGTCTGAAACTAGAAGATGATAGGCAGGATTTGAAGGGAGCTGAATGTGTGTTTGGTTCCTTTGAGATTTCAAATTCAACTAGTTACTTGAAGGATTTGGCAATAGATGACATTTTTGAAGATATTGACACTTCAATGTATGATTCAGACTTCTGTTGCCCTCCACTGATGCCGCCCAGATCACCATCTCTTGCTACAGAAGAACCATTGAAAAACTTTCCATCTTGTAATTCTTCTTCAGCGAGCAACATTCAGATATGTAGAACAGATCTCAGTGAGCTGGACCACATCATGGAAATTCTGGTTGGATCCTGATACTTGTTTTACCCAAAGATACTTTTTAACTGCCACTTTCATTTGGTTTCAGGATAAAAGCCACTGGAAAACTTGTAAAGAATTCATTAAGACACAAACTAAATAACAATTTGTCTGTAGTAGGATTTTCTAAATAATTCCAAAACTAAAAAACCAAAAAAGTGGCAGATTTTTTTTTTAAAAAAAGAAATATTTATTTATCAGAACTGTGCAATCATCATTTTCCTTCCAGGGTGTATGTGGAACAATAGGCACATACCCTCCTCACCCCTCATGCCTCTTTCAATAAACTTTTTTATGTGCAATTTTTAATTTGACAGAAGAATTTACATGCAAAGCAAATTTCATATGAGATGATCTTTTACAAAGCCTCCACTTTATTTTTAATATCAGAGTCTATGCCAAGTTGGCATCCGTCAAGTTGCAGAGTTAGATCGTGTGGATTGCAGACACATTACTAGAGATGGGTATATTTTAAAAATGAGACACGCTTTGCTTTCTTTTGGTCAGAAAAGCAGATCAAGACACTTACCAACAAAGTCTCTTGCATTTTCTAAAGCATTCAGAACTATTTATTTTTGTAAATTTTATAGTCTTTCTACATTTTACTACGTTATTTCATCATAGTTCAAAATATAATGGACTTCTAGTTGGATGTGTTTAGCACTACCTCTGAGCTGAAATGCTTTAACTCTTTCCAGTGCTTCATCTAAGACTGCAGATCTTTTTGTTTCCTTTATTTTTTTTTTTTCCTGGGGGAAAGTACTTCTAATGCATTGAGCTGATCCTTTGACAGTGACCTAGCTGATTTGTGAAATCAAGGGTATTCAATGTTTAAAAACTTTTAAGTATTTACAAATGTAATTTATATGTAGATTGTGCAATTTAACATTTTTCTGTCAGTATTATGTGCTTAGATTTTGAATAATCTTGGCGTTCTTTAAATTAAAACTTACTATGTACAGGTAGCTTTTTATTCTGTTTTGGAAAACACTGTCCTCCAACCCTGCTTTCACTACAATGTTTTAAGATGATTTTTATGTGCAATATTATTTAAAAAGATACACATTTTGTATACCTGGCATTGTGGGAAGAAACGCTTCAAAACTTAAAAACCTCTAGCACCTTTTGGAGGATACTCAGAGAGTCAGCCATTTCTGTGTCCTTTAAGAAACAAAGCTGAGAACACTTGTTGCAACATGAGTGCTCACTGCTCCGAGTGCTCCTGGAACACCCGTGGCTGAGTCAGTGCCGATGACTCAGCCCTGCCGCGCAGCTGCGTCCGGGAGAGCTCCGTGTCCGACTGCGGGGATGCGGCGCCGGGGCCACCTGGGCCTTGGAACCGTCGTGCTGCGGCCCCAGCCCGTGCTGGGGAAGGAGGGGCACGTGTGGCAGGTGTGTGAATAAGGATGTATAAACACACTCATGAGCTGAAGATGAGATTTGCAGTGAGAACTGTTTTTCCACGAGACAGTTTGGATACCGTGTCTCAGCCTGAACTGAGGTCTGTGTCCATCCCTGCTACCGTCTTCTGAATTACACACTTGCACATTACTTTTTGGTTTGGGTTGTTTGTTTTTTTCTCTCCTTGTTTTTTTTTTTTTTTAATGATAAAACTTCTACTTTGTTCTTGAGAGCTGCAGCACCTGTCTTGAAAAATTGCAGTTGTAAAAGCTTTGCTTTGGTTTGTTTGTATTTTTGGGGTTTTTTGTTGTTCTGCTGAGACTTTTCACGAACGGGGCATCAGCAGAGGAAAAAAATGTTGCCTCTATGTTGCATCTCACAGAAGTTGAAATCCTGGCCCTACTGAAGGGGCCAGGGTGTCACCTGGTATTTCTAGTCTTAACTGATGCTGTGGCACACCTACCTTGTGCAAAGATCTCCATTTTTTACTGTGACTCTCTTGGTTAACAGTTAGCTGCCGATATCATTTGGTATCCCAAGCCAGTGGAGAACCACTTCAGGTCACATCCTTTGCAGCCATCTGGGTTGTTTAGCAACCGAAGGGTATAAATGTATTTATATGCATATATTGTATTGATTCTAATATAAAACTTCTGATCTAAAGTATTTTGAATTGCTGGATAAAGGGATTTGTTTGAAGAGTGTATAAATAGTTCTTGAAGAGGTACAACTTCAGAATGTACACAGATTGTGCATTGTGTATAGACTACTCTGGCTTTTCCTCAGCCTCTACTTTTGTATTAAAAAATGACTGAATAAATCCTTGAAATATTAAGGGCCTTCTGCACTGTGATGAAACAGAGTTGTGGTTAAAAAAGTCTTTAAATTCAGTGATGAGGGAAAAAATAAAAAGACTGCATCTAATTTCTTTTTGCATTTAAAAATACAGAGTGTTACTATGCAGTAAAGATATTTTGGTATGAAAATCGTATCATGTAGCAAATAGTGAACACTTAATAAATCCACTTACCTTGCAGCACCTACTGAAACAGAACGGAAGACAACTCGCTTTTCAGCATTTACAGACTAAAGATTTTTGTATACTGCAGAGGAAGATTAAATTGTTGGTAGATGTTTTTTATCAACAATTCAAAATGGAATTTTTGTTCAAGTCCTTGCTACAAAGCTCTGTTTCTAATTGGTTGCTTGTGTCACAGTGCCAAGACCATGAGCTGGTGTGTAATGCAGTTCGGTTATGTATGGAATTATGTGCAAAGGGAAGTTTAATTTTTAAATATGCACAAACTAATTTTAAAATCCTTCCATGTAAAATGAAGTTAGAGGCTAGTTGTGGTGGACCTATTTATTGTATGTTTGGAAATAAAAGCCACAGTTTTGCAGTTTAACCATTTCTATTTTGAAGCCTTTGGTATTTGAATGGTTTTTTTTTTCATGGCTAGGCTTCGCGAATGAATATTTGAGAAGGGCTCTACCTACGCTTGCTACAAGCACGCTGATGGCTTAAAAGGCCAATGCGAGAGGCCAAATAGACAAAGTCCGGTTGCAGAAGGCACAGCAGAAAGACTCCCCAGGTGATATCGACAAGACGCGATTCTTTCTGCGTTGTCTTTTCTCCTCGAGAGTGATCCTGCGTGTGTTCTCAAAAGCAGCAGCAGCGTTATAGATGGTGTGTCTCCATGCCTCCCAGTTGGAGGCCAGGGTAGACCAATGGTGGTGATCAATATGGCCAAGGCTGAGGGATTGTTTCAGGGAGTCCTTGTATCTCCTCTTTTGGTAGCCAGTGGCAAGTTCCCCACAGAGCACGATCTTAGGAAGGTGGCAGTCCTGCATCCTGGAGACGTGCCCTGCCCAGCACAGCTGTGTTCTCAGCAGCATGGCCTCAATGCTCGTGACTGCTGCCTGTTCAAGGACAGACGTGTTGGTCACATAGTCAGTCCAGTGGATGTTTAGAATTGTACGGAGGCAGCGCTGATGGAAGCGTTCTAAGAGACGCAAGTGGTGCCGGTAAATGACCCATGATTCGGACCCATACAAAAGAGTAGACAGTACAGTGGCTCTGTAAATGCTGATCTTTGTACTTTTCTTCAGGTGTTTGTTTTGTCAGACTCTTTTATGGAGTTTACCGAAAGCTCTGTATGCCTTAGCTAACCTGTTGTCTATTTCTGCATCAATCTTACCATCTGAGGAGATGATGCTTCCCAGGTAATTAAACTGTTGGACTGATTTGAGTTCTGTTTCACCAATGGTGATATGGGGATGATGGGAGACTTCCTGAGGTGCAGGCTGATATAAGACTTCTGTCTTCTTCAAGCTGACTTCCAGTCCAAACAGCTCAGCAGCCTCTGCAAAGCAGGATGTTAGACGCTGCAGAGCTACTTGTGTGGGTGATGAGGGCGGCCTCATCAGCGTAAAGCAGTTCATGGACAAGATGATTTAAGGTCTTAGTGTGGGCCTTCAGTCGCCTTAGGTTGAAAAGGCTCCCATCGGTACAATATCGAATGTCAGACACCGTTTTCATCATCGAGGTCTGCCGTGGCCCTTTGGAGCATCATGCTAAAGAAGACTGTGAATAAAGTTAGTGCAAGAACACAGCCTTGCTTCACACCATTGGCTGTTGGAAAGGGCTCAGAAAGTGCATCACCATATCTGACTGTGACCCAGCGCGGTCATCATTTGAATGTTTTAAAAACAAAACAAATGTTGCACCTTGCCTCTCTTTCTCTGGGCTCCCACTCACAGCAACCCACGTTTTCCCTAGGGTTTTGTATCTTTTTTGCTTCTCTGCACCCTCTCCCTGCCCTTTCTTCCCTGAAATTCCAAACCTGTGTGGAAATCACACATGCCAGGCACCGTAACAGGGTTCCACTTGAGGTTTACACATAACCTGAAGGATAAGGATTCCCTTAGGGAAGCACCACAGCTCAGGCTGGGTGATTCCAAAGACAGAGCCCGAACACTGAAATTCCTGGGCAGTTATGCAATAATAAGAATAATTCAGACCAATGATAATATTAAGGTCTGGGGTCTTCATGCTTTTTACTGATTTGTTGGGTTTTGATGTTTCACTGCTAAGTGGCCCTTGTCTTGCACAGCACCGCAGCCTCCCAGCCTGTAGTTTGGAATTTGTCATGTTCTAATAACATTGTTACAGTAGGCTTTGTGTACTTTTAATATTTAAGTCCTGCTTTGTCTGCTCTGGCTGTTATTAGCTGTGAGTTTTGACTAATTCCTTCACCATGGTATCCTCTTTGTACGTCCCCACCAAACAAGGGATGGCCCACGAAGCGTTTTTCCAACCAGTGGGGTGGGAGGGGGGATTCCTGTTGGGAGCAGGTGACATGTTTTTAGCACTTAGCTGTCCCCAGGGCTTTGTCTCGACTGCCCTGTGTAGTCTTCCCAGCCCCTGCAGTTCTTAGTGTCCCCTCAGGGGTTGCCGAGCTTGAAAGCAAGTGTCAGATAGGAGTGTCCTTGATGCACATACTGTTGACACTTAAGCCTTGTGTGCTTGTCAGGCTGGGACAAAAACCCTGCCACTCTGGGCTATCAAAAGGCTGCATGTACAAATTAAACCAGCAGCTTCAGGTTTAAAGGTTTCCATCCCCTTCCTGTTGTGGAGCTCTAAAACGAGATCCTGACTCTTCTGCAATGAACGTCAAGGTTTAAACTGAGGCAGAATCTCAGATTTCCCTCATTTTTAAGGGGTTTTTAATTGAGAGGAACCTATTTATGTGCCACTGTAGGAGTTACATGAAGGAAGACCCTTGATTTTAAGGGGAAAAATACGTTCATATATGCACTGAGGCATAACAGAGCACTCTCCAGCAACCTGGTCAAGTGGAAAGTGTCCCTGCCCATGGCTGAAAAGCCCTGTCCAACCTGGTTATGAGCGATCTCACAATTTGATTTATGAGACGGCACTGGCTGCTGCTTACAGACCAGGAATTCTTCCTGCCTTTTGTCCTGGAGCCTGCTGACCAGAGGGTGAAAAGCAGGTCTAGAAGGAACGTCACAGAAACCTGTTTTTGTGAGCACTGTGCCATTGTGACTGGCTCGTTACTGAGGACGTCACTGCTGCAGATGCTGCAGCACAGAGCTGAGCTTGTGCCCATGGCAGTAGAAAACGCTGCCTTGTGAGGAGGTGCTGCTCTTTAGCCTTTTAGGAAAAGTACTTCTGAAGTATTGCTTTTGGGTCAAGCTGAGACTCTTCAAAGGTGGTGTAGGGGTTTCATGTACTTATGTAGATTTTAGCCATGCTGAAAGATCTGAGCTTAAAAGTGGTCAGCTCAGTGCAAAGCTGCTTCAAAACATGACTGCCTGGGGAGATGTTGCTGCTACCCTGAGTGCTCTGTCCAGCTCTGTGTTCTGTGTGCTGGAAGGGAAACTTACAAAGACTAATTTCCCAGCTCAAGCAAGAGTAAAACACACAAAATAGCCTATTAGTTTTGGGAGGAAGATGAGTTGTAATTTTGAGCTATTAAAAACCAGTATTAGAAGTGAAGAATTAAGTTATCTGAAGTCACAGAAGTGTGTCTGTAGAAGTGTGTGTTATTAAAGCAGATGTTGAGGGAAGCTGGAAGATTTTTGGCATTTCAGGGTTTGCCCAACATTCACAGCTCGCCTGAATCGAAAAAGAAAAAAATGTTGCAACTTCATTCCATACATTTTTCCTCTCCTTGGGACCCGCTTATCCCAGTAAGCAGAGCACTAAGCTACAGCTGCGCTGGCGGTGCTCTGGCACCCAGGCTGTGCCATGGGATGGCAATTTCAGAGGTTCTCACCTGTTTTTCAGGAGAAGGAGCAGAAACTTCTACTGGATGTGACTGCAGTGAGCCTGCTGCATCTGCTGGCTGCATTGCTGCTTCTCTTTAAATCTTCCAGAGTGGATCTGGAAAGTTAAACTCAGATCCACAAAGAAGTTTGGGGTTTAACAATTAATTTCAATGCAGCTCATTTTTAGCCAAATTCCCTCTGCCGTCTTAACTGGAGCAGTAGTACTCCAGGGAGTCCCATTTCTTAAACTGTGAAAACTGATCTTCATTATTAAAAATATTGGAGTGCTTTTAGATTGACTGCATTTTGAAAAAAACTGTTAAGCTTTTACAAGATTTCTTTTGTTTGTTTTTCACTCCATCTTCTCTGTATTCAGCCAGTGGTGTACTTAATGGTATACTTAGAAACCATCCTGGGGTCTGAAAGTCTCTCCTCCTTTTTTATCTCTTTTTATTATTAATATTAATTAAATACCACATTTTAGAATATGCACATCTTAGAATTGAAACACCACATTTTAGAATTGAAAAAATTTCAGTCTTTCACAATGAATTTGGGTTTGGGGGTTTTTTGGCAAAGCTGTTTACAACATTCCTTCCACAAAGCAAGCATTTCAGTAATTACATCAGTGATTGGAACTTTGTAAAACTTTGTTCTATGGGTATATTTCCCTCTAATCTCAGCAGAAGAAATAGGCATTCCTGTCTGCTGTCCAAAACTCTTGCCTTGCTCTAGTTTTCACCTGTTCAAAATCCTGAGCAAATGTCAGAAGTCTGTGGTATTTGCTTCGCGCAAACACAGAGCACAGTAACATGTCTTAGTTCGTCAAAACTCGGGATTTCACAGCTGAGAGCCCACAACCAAGATGAGAAATTATGAAATTCTTAGCTTAAAACGTACTAAGACACGAAGTTTTGTTTCCTCCGTGCTCCACTCTCACAGCACGGGCCTCTGGTGCCTCTGGGTGCAGCCGTGCGTTCGGGGGAGTGGGCGGTTGCTGGCACGTTGTGCCGGGCGCCGGGGATGGCAGGAACAAGGAAATGACTAAAGGAAATCAACAGCCACTATTTGTGCAAAACACGCCAGAGGGCTTTCCGGCACCCCTTGTTTCCCGGGATAACCACAGAAGGCAGGGCTGCTTGTTGGCTACGCAGTGTGCCTGGTAATGGTTGGCTACGCTTTGGTTTGTGAAAGTGATCTCTTGTCACTTGAGAGAGTCCAGTTTTCTCTTTGTGGGTACCACCAAATATACAAATGGTGCCCAAATTCTGATGAGGGCTGGCGGGGATGGGGGGGGTGCCAGGACTCCACTGAATTACTTTATAATTTCAATTTTGCTACTCTTTTCCCTTGGAGAGGTGAGCTCATTCATCTCAGGCTAGAAACAGGAGTTAAAAGGTCTCACAGTTGTTTTATGCCACAGTCAGGGCTCAGGTGGCCCAAAGCATCTGCCTAAAAGACAATGACCTGAAAGGTGGAGCCTCTCACCTTTGGAGCCCCAGGAGTTTTTTTATCCCAGTGAATCATAAGGGCTGAACCCTTATTAATTGCCATTCTGGACCTTGTACAGGGCTGTAAAACCTGCTACTGTGAGGGAGAGATGACGTATTCATCC